GACCAGAGGTAACCAACGCTTATATATGTGTAAGGTGACCAGAGATTACCAAAGCCAATATCGGTGTAAGGTGACCACAGGTAACCAAAGCCAATATCTGTGTAAGGTGACCAGAGGTCATCAAGGTCAATATTTCTGTAGGTCGGCAAGAGGCAACAAAAGCCAATATCTGGGTTGGGTGACTATAGGTTACCAAAGTCAGTATCTAATTAAAGCCAGTATATGTGCAGCACGAAAAGAGGTAGCCAAATCAAATATCTCTGTAGGGTGTCAAGAGGTAACCAACACCAATATCTGTATAGCGTGACCAGAGGTAACCAAAGTCAATATCTGCGTAGGGTGACCAGAGGTAACCAAAGACAATCTGTGTAGGGTGACCAGAGGTAACAAAAGACATTTTGTGTAGGTTAACCATAGATATCCAAAGTCAACATCTGTGTAGTGGGACCAGATTACCAAAGCCAATATCTGTGTAGGGTGGTCAGAAGGTTACCAAAGTCAATATCTGTGTAGGGTGACCACAGATAACCAAAGTCAATATATGTATGTAATGACCAGAGGTTACCAAAGCCAATATATGGGTAAGGTGACCAGAGGTACCCAACGTCCAGATCTATGTAAGGTGTCTAAAGTTAACCACACTCAAAATCTGTATAGGATGACAAGAGGTAACCAAATAGAATACATTTGTAGAGTGACCAGAGGTAACCAAAGCCAATATCTGTGTAGGGTGACCAGATGTAACCAAAGCCGATTTCTCTGTAGGGTGACCAGTGGTAACCAAAACCAATATCGGTGTACGATGACCAGAGGTAACCAACACCAATATATGTGTGGGTTTAAATTTTACATTGATATGTCCTGACAATGCAATACATACAATGGCCAGCCCATTCATTTTCTGAAGACGAAACCGTGTCAATATCTACATTTATAAGAATTAAGTATAACTTATTTTCATTTTCAATCAATTTATGGTTTTGAGTGAATCATTGATTGTTTGCGTAAAATATCTTTGTTTTACTTTTTGAATCTCTTATACCAGTGTCCTTTTAAATATGAACCCCGCAGAAAACTCATATTCATATTGTATTGCTTCACTGAATAACTGTTTACCGACTTAGTAACCTACTTTCACTTTCAACCGAAAATAATGTACTATTTTTTGTCGCGTAGAGAGACATTTTTAACAGTTGCTGGTAAGGTTACCTCTGAGCGCAACTATTATCCTTGTGCAAACGTTTAAGAGAGTTATTCCTCTTTGATCTGATGAAGGAAAATGGCAATCGTTTAACAAGATTGATTATGAAAGAAAATTAAATTGTCCTCAGATTATTGACGTGTTCCTAAATTGGAAAAAAAATGTTTTGTTTGTTTCGTTATTGTGGAAAAACAAAATAATTAAGGAAACATAAAAATATGCATATAAAAAAGAAAGATACAAAAATACAAAAACAAGGAATGAAATTACGAAAAAGCAAAGAAACAAATGTCTCGAGAGGAGCTGGTTATGTTCTATGTTGATGGAATAAGCCTTCCGTTTCATATGAATAAAAAGAGAAGAGTGGTATACGTCAACTGTACATCAATCCAACAAACACACAAAAAGACTGTCAAAAAATAAAATTGAATTAAAAATTTGTCAGCAAGATAGGTCACTCAATTTAAAAGATAACAATAATTTCCTTTACTTCATACTAGTATTCACTTATCTTTTCACCAGTGTCAATCGTTATAGCATACGTTTAATTAATTCTTCTCAACAAATTATTAAGAATTACATAAATTCAAGGTGTCTATAGCAGTCGGTATGTATGGATATTGAAAATGGCACTGAAGTATTTTGAATGTGTATGGCATTTGCATTTCTATAATTATAATAATTTTCGAATTAACGCCAACAATACAGTAACCCAACGACGCATACATGTAACATGAAGTACATCTATAGAGTAAACATTATGGTCCTATAACACTGTGGTTTTTTTAATTTTTTATTTACCCATTTTGTTCCGATTTCTACAATTATAATAATTTTCGAATTAACGCCAACAATACAGTAACCCAACGACGCATACATGTAACATGAAGTACATCTATAGAGTAAACATTATGGTCCTATAACACTGTGGTTTTTTTATTTTTTATTTAACCATTTTGTTCAGATTTGCTGAGTTTCAACGCTTGTGAAATGGCACATACATATTTTCAGGTACCAGTTATACAATTTAGTATACAAAACATAAACCACTACGTGTCTTTGTTCAGTATAGTAGTTGTCGGAAAGAAGAATTATATAGAGGAATGCATATCAACAAAAATCATTGCACACGAGTTTATATAAAAGAAAAGAGGTCGTACTAGGTTCACATGAAATTCATTCACGCAAGGGTCATTTAAACAAAATCACGGTATAACAGCTGAATATGTGTGTACTTATACTGAGAATCTAGCAACATTGTAGTGTATTTCTAAACATGTTATGAAGTTATAAATGCGTACAGATGACATAAAACGGAAACTATGTAAGAATTCGGTAAACTTTAAGTAGATATCGTCAAAATGAAAAGGATGGACATTCTAAACCAAAATTGATAATATATCGAAAGCAAAGCTCTGCCGTATTGTCTTTCAGAAATACTTTAACTGCATTATATTTCTTTGATGCAAAATTCTACGAAACATGTTAAATTTGAAATATTGAACACACTCTTAGCATATTTTGAAGAATCAGATTCCAATAGACTAGTGTATTTGAAATTTTCCTGGCATATTTTAAAGAAAAAGTTGGCACCATTGTTCTGCATAGGATTTGAAAATACATATACCGTTTATCGATACAACCCAAAAATTGCTAAGTATAAAACACAAAATAAATGATAATATAATGCCGCTTTCAATACTTTATAATATACAAAATACAAAAAATACACTGTACAGATTTTACTATAAATTCATTTTTTTTATATAAATCTGATAGGAACTCTAATACGATTAAAAATCAATATCATTATTAGTTTGTATTTTAAATTGGGAGTATTCTCTGTTTAAATCTGGTAATCGTGTACCATACTGACGATTTTTATCCCCTATTCTTCTTTTATATTCCTCCATTGCCGATACAAGTGTTGTTATATGCTGAAATAAGTTTATGTTATAAATAGTTGTAGATATAAGAAGATGTGGTATGAGTGCCAATGAGACAACTCTCCATCCAAGTCACTATTTGTAAAAGTAAACCATTAAAGGTCAAAGTACGGTCTTCAACATGGATTCTTGTGTCTTAATGTGATATTGTACAGCCGAAACCTCTTGTTCGTCTTCCTGTAACAATAGAAGAATTCCATAGAGATAATAATTGGAATTTTCGGCCATTTATCATTGTGAAGTTTTCTATTATATCTAAACAATTCGTTAATTAGAAGTCTCTGATATTCTTTGTGAAAAGATGTACAACTTGACCGTCAACAGAGCCTTGTATATCCCGGAGATATATGTTTCCTTTTCAAATGATAGGCTATTTACTTTCATATGTTCAAGTCACAAATGAAGTACTTTTCTTTTATTGACTATATGTGTGCATTTCCTACAAGACATAAATTACCTTTTCGTGCATTTACAAGGTAAGAGAAATATTCTATATATTTTCATTTGATTCAAATTATTCATATTCCAATGTGTTTATATGGTGTGAATTGATTAATGTTTTGACTGCAGAACAATCAAGACTGTCGTAAGGTTTAGTGAGCTATAGTTTGTCCTTCAATGTTATGTGTAGTTTGACTAAGTACTTTCATAGTATCATTGAAAATACTAATTGGTTGGTCTTTATTACTCATTTTAGTTATCATCTTGTTATTTTGTTAATTTAATTTATTTACTACACCTTGAATTAAAGTGTTCGTTCTTTTAAGAAACCCAGCGTCTTGAATCTATCTTTTTCGTCAAATATCTTTTAGTCCATTTTGTAATTTTGTTTGACGTTTACACCTTACCTTTCTTTGTTATTCATACAAAATATAAGATAACAAATCAAAATCTACTATGACTTCTAAAGTACAGGTTTAAAAATGAAAACCGATTTCCGAAAGTACATGTTCCAAGAAAATAAACCCAATATGTTCATGGCAAATAAACATATCCTAGTGCGTTTTCCCAGTCCGTTCTGTGTTGAGGAATTACGTAATTAATAAACTAAATATTAATTTGATTTGAATAAAGGAATAGTCCAATCATAATTTATATAATAGGATGTAATATTTGTTTCAAACAACTCCTATACAACGGCGGCACTTTCAGGTGGGGTATTGACAAATGCATCTAATAGCATATACAATGAATATGTACAATCAAGTATGAAACGCAAAAGGCAATATCAAAGTTAAAATCATTGTCCATAAAATCATATAACTTCCATGAAAGAAAAAAGCATTTGAATGAAAATAAATCGGACGAAGAAGGTTAAAGAATTATATTTTATGGGGTAGCATAATGAATTGAAATGATGAAATGAATCGAACAATTGAAAATGCACTGCAGTTTGGTCTTTTCATCTAAATCAAATAACGTTTACAATTTTTCCCCATAAGTGGAAACCCGGTGCCTTTTAATTTTTATCCCCCTGGTCTGCAGGGCATCCGCTCCGCTCCGTCTGCCTTTCCCGGCTGGCAACTCGCAGCCTTACATTTTTTTTTCTCTCCGCAGACATTGGTTTTAATAGGCCTTTATGATGGAAGGGAAGTAGATGGGAGGACATGTTTTGTTTCATGTTTATTTTTGTACAAATTAATTTTTCTTAAGTGTTATCAGATTATGTTTGAGCGTTTTACCCTTGTACTTTATTTTCATTTCCGCGATAAACACTAATTAAAAATTTTTTTTTTTCTAAAATCTATTTCAAATAGTAATGCAGAGCCTATTGGTTCATTATCAATAGAAATAACTTGACAATATTAATTGTACCAATTAACAGGATAGTATTGTAATATTGATCAATTAAGTGACAGGACATGTGTCTCTATATCGAAATGATGTGAAACATAAATATGGAATTAAAAATTATTTGGACTGTTTTATTTGTCTTCGGTTTCTTATCCTGGAAAGTAAAAGCAGGTAATTGCAATACATTTTTAAGGGCATTAGCTACAATTGAAATAACAAAATAAAAATACGATGTTTTTGGTTTCAAACATTTATTGAAGCATAATTGTGAAATAAGCTTTTGCTTGTAACAATCACTTAAGTTTTATTTTGTCAAAATAAGCTGCAAAATATCGCTAATGTAATATTGGCTTGAAATTCAATTATTCAACCTCATTTAAACCATTTTCATGTGACCTTCAATTTAACCCTAAATTACGCATGTGCTAAGGATGGTCAGTTATTAAAAGAAAAGAAGGACAACATCGGAAAGTAAACAAGAGAAGCCACTGGGAAAATCTGGTACGTTGACTGATTTTGCAAGCAAAAAAAAAATTTCCTACGGTTAAACGATTCTTAACATATTTCAATGACATGAAATCAAAGGGACCTATAAAAAGCGTCATTATACGATTGCACACGCTCGGTTGTGTATTTATAGTTATGCCGATGTTAAGAACAGGTCATAAGAATCGTCGACAGTCTTCGGCTGTCATCTCGATGGTTAATAAGATGGCTTCTAGCATACAAAACACACGAAATACAGATATATAACAACGAGTATATTCATTGTAAAAATTTTCTTTTTCACTTTTTGCAATTTTAGTATTTGTTTTTTTGTTTGTTATCAATCGAATATAGGAATTTGAGTCAAATCGGTGAAATTTGTCTTCTAATGCCCTTTTAAAAATATATAATTAGTTGCAACGAGATGAATTGTTAAACGATCACTTAAGGCGAAGTGTATGTTACTGACTACTCCAAATGTTTGTTTTTATAGATTTTACATTTGAATTCTGGTTGTAAAAATACACCAGAAAATCAAATAAAAATGGGGAAAACTGTCGAAATTAACAGTCATGGCAAAATTAAAATAAACGCTTTTATGACGCAAGTGTGAATGGTATCTTATGATGACGAGAGGAACATTATATACAATCGTTTGTCTAGAATTTCAAATGCAATATCCATGTTGTGAGTTTAATCAGGTGGATACCCAGTTGAAATTAAACAAAAGAAATGGAACTATTTATTAGAGAAGGCAAACAAGACCAAGTTGGTATATTTGAATTGGTTACATCTGTTTCTATGGGTTTTATCAGTTTAATGATGGTGCATCATTTAGTATGTTATGCATCTGATATACGTGTTTTTACTTAAATTATAGTACGGAGTTTCAAGATATTTGTAAACTTGTAAATTAGAGACAAATTTTCACCAAACAGTCGATTATGGTAGGTGCAAATACATGTGGATCTTTTTTGTGCATAATCATAAATTCCGCCGAAAAATTCCACAGAAAGATAAAAGATTGATCTTTTTAAAGCATTATTTTTCATCTCTGACCCCCGACGATATATTTTTTTGTGTGAAAAAATTCTTAAAATGGGCTATAATTTCAATAAAAAGAGAAAGTTGAGTACACCTTTTTATGTTCAGGCGTGTTTGAGTTGACTATTTTGTCTAGAAAACGTATGAAGCAAAAAAAATTGATACATAATCTCGCTTCAGATTCAATTTTTTTTTATATATTTAGGCGATAGGTTGATATAATAACATTAAAAATTCACAGTACTAAAATGAAATATATGGGTCAAGTTTAATACATGTCTTATGAGTCATAACAACAGACTAGATTTCTTTGAATAACAAATTTTTACTAAAAGTACCTGACAACAGACTTTACAAGTGGATCTTAAAAATGCATATCTTCAAAAAAATTTTTTTTTTTTGTGTGTGTGATCTAGGGTTATTTGTCTTCAACCTCTGAACATTTTTAATCTGCCATTCCACGTAATATTTAATTCGAATTTTTTTAAATGTTTTTGAACTTTCGAAAATTCCCCTTGACAACTGACCAGACAATAGTTTTAAGTTAACTAAATGCATAAAAGTACGTTAAATGATTCTCAATAGCTAATGGATACATTTGTCTTTTAAAATACAACTGTCATATAAGGATCATAATCATGATAATGATGCTATGTTGATAAATTTATCGGTTCCAAGAGCTTAATTAACAGCGCGTCATCACTACAATGCCTTCCATTTTTTACGATTGTAAAAATAAAGTGGTGTAATGGGGAAATTTTGACGAAGTAGACTTAACTAAAATAAAAGAGCTTAATATTCGCATTATATATTTGTTCGTAGTCATAATGTAATAAATAAAGGAATATTTTGCTAAAGACAGTTCCTTTTTTAAAAAATTATTTCAGGCCATTACATGACAATAAGTTCCGGCAGAATGACTTGGCTAGAGAGCTTTAGTTACTGTAGCCTTGCTTCTGAGGACAGTATACAATATTTAGTTGACGGAGAATACAGAGGTTGGGTTGGTGGGATTTATTTAAACTCACAGTGGATGATTCATAAAGGTAATAATACAATCAATTGGGTATAAAAATAAATATCATTGTTCTTTATATTAGCTAGATAACATCATTGAACAGCAGTAGTGTTGACAGAGTCCATTCAATTGCAACAGCTGATAAAACGAAGTTCGTGCTACATGTACACTTATAAAACATAAGAACACCCGTTTCTCTTTTTTTGACATTTTTATCTATTGTGTCTGTTTGTTTTGTTCACGCATCGTTGTCAATATAATGGAATTTGATGCGACTGTCATACAAGTGAGAGGTTTAACTAGCTATAAAACCTGGTTCAATCCACCATTTTCTACATACGAAAATGCCTGTACCAAGTCAGGAATATGACAGTTGTTATTCATTCGTTTTATGCGTTTGAGCTTTTGATTTTGCCATTTGATTAGGGACTTTCCTTTTTGAATTTCCTCGGAGTTCAGTATTTTTGTGATTTTACTTTTTTCTCAATGAACGACACATTTTTGTTCTGGTTTAGGATAAAACTATCTGCTTGAATAAAAGAGGAGTAACTGTGTATAGCCTCATAACTTGAGGAGACTATAGACTATAGTAATAGCATTACCAATTTGAGAATACAACATGAATATTAATTAACAATATACATGGAAATCAATAGGTATTGTTCTGCAGGTTTTTCACAAATAACCTTATCATTTAATCTGACTGATGCAAAATAGCGTCTTATAATTTGTTGTTTTTTCTGTTACCTTAAGGTTTTTACGTAATTGTGTATTTGTACTTCCTGAATGTATCTACTTATCCTACGTTGTATGTGTTCATACATCCCAAACATAACAATATATATGAAGCTATAACAAAACGGATAATTTAGAGCTTTGGTATATAGTCATATCTCTAAAAGTAACAGTTAGAGTTTGAGAATCGTTTATATTGTGCGGAGGTTGTGATCCTTGGGCATAAAGAGTTGTTTTTATATATTTGCAGTTCGTTTTCTTTTTGACTTTCCTGAATCTGTTGAGTGTATTATTTGGTTTTCTAAATCATATCATACGAAGTTACACATCGAGTATGAGTTTCGCTTGATTCGTTTTTCCAGGAGTAGTGGTGTCTGGACATTTTAGAAATACAATCGTGATGCTTCAGAGGTTAATTTAGCTCTGCAATTGTTGGATACATCAGTATGTTTATGTCTTTCTACGACTGATGGGTTTTTTATTCTTCTTTTTAAATCCTTCACCCTTTTTTACGGCTTTGATAATGAGTAAAACCCGTACCGCAGAGATACCTACACTTGAAACGGCGTATTAAAATGTAGAATGAATTTTAAAGAGCAACACACCACGTTCATGTTATTACAGTGTAATATACGAAAATCATACGGCAGACAGCAACAATAAAATCATCATACAGCTACAAAAGACTCATCAGTGACGCTTAAATAAAAAATGTTAGGAAGGACAAATAAAGTACGAGGTTGAAGAGCATTAAGGACTCAAAACCCCGAAAGATTTTGTCAAATACAGCAAAGGTAATCTATTGTTGGGGTAGAAAATCCTTGGTATGTAGAAAAATTTAACATTTTGTACACAGTCAATCTTTCATTATAAAATGACAACTACTAGACAAAAGGCTACTTTATTTGTTTTATTTTTTCACAAGTTTGAAAGATGAAAAATGAACAAAATGGCATCGATTTGAAATCGTTTCATTGATAATTTGATAGGAAAACTTTACTTTCCCAAATATTTTGTTCGGTACCAGCTGTTAATTAAATTTTGGATACGTATGCTAAAAATGTAACAGTTTTATTTTTTCCGTTATTCGGATATGGTCTTTTAAGGACAAACGTTCATTTGTAAATTCCGTAACAATGACTTTTATACAAAAATATTCTGCAATTACTTGACCAGACTTGATCACATTCAATGTGGCAAATACGTATAGAACATTGACAGGAAGAACAAATGTTACTTGAAAAGTTATGTTTTGCAACCAAAAATGACTCTTATTCCCCTCTTATAGATTTCGGCTTCGACGGTCGATATCCCTCACTGTGAACATAACATAAGGATGTCATAACTCATAATAAAACATATTGAAAGTAAAAAATAAATTGCTGAATAAGATGCTTATAAAATATGTTTAACATTATAGAGAAATGTTCATGAAATACACTTTGCAAAAGGTCGGAAGAGGTTAAATGGCAGATCTTCTTTTTGCCTGCAGGGATTCTATTCATGACTTCAATTCAAATGACAATGAACTCAAATAAAACTTTAAAATAACAGGGTTATCACTATTAAGAAAAATTATTAGGAAAACCATATCAAGGACAATTATCAGGAAAACTTAACAAATAAGGAAAATGATCATGGACACAACTAACAAATGGCAAGGATTACCTTCTGAATTGATACAGATGGAAGTTAGAAAATTACCCTACACTGCAATAAGGAAAATTTACGGCAGAATCTTGTTGTACAATTTTATACCAATTATGTTTGACCTACTACCAGTACGTTATGAACTTTGGCTTCAATGTTCATGTTTTTTTTGTGTGATTTTTTTTCATTTGAAGAATTGTTTGTCTATCATGTCTATATTTTACTCTTCATGTTGATAGACCTTTGATATAAAAGTAAGAAGATGTTGTATGATTGCAAATGAAACAACTTTCCGCTAGAGCTCAAACATATCTCCTCCTGAAAAATGCATATTTATTTATATATGTATCTTTCGCCAGAGAATTGTCATGTACTGGTAGTGTATGTAGCTCTTTATGCCACAACTACCAAATTGTCATTGTTGCATTTTCACCTACTGTGGAAAGACATACACGCGATATTGAAATGTATACGTCAAAAATGTAATTTGCAATCTGTCCGTCTATCGACATAAGACTTCACGTTATACTTAAAAATGTAACATACCTGTTTAGCTTATTAATAATAAATATAACATGTGCCTTTCCTCTTAATTCAAAATCAGTCTGATAAACTTGATGGTATACACTGTGTTGCTTTATAGTAAATGTACATGAGTCAAGAAATACGAAGCTCTGGTGTGTGACTTTCTTTTACGGAATCATCACTATTGTACCATATATATTACAATATAACAAACTATTTAACAATGTTACCAAAGTTAGATTCCGCTTTTTAAAATATCTTTTTCTTGAATTTATTTCATTTTATTTTTGTATATGAAAATGTTTGTATTCTTTGTTGTCAAGGTTGTTTTAGCAATTTTGGAGCAATGAATAGTGGTGGTATCTATGACATTAAAAGGTTAACACCGGCACTTTGTTCAGAGAAATGTAAAATAAGATCATATTTTGCATTGAAAGTAAGTAACGTGTTTTCCTCTTATTCAGTTAATGTTATTGCTATCTACTAGAAAATGCAATTATTTACGGTTTACTTATTCTCTTTTCTTTCTGTTGTTGTGTCGTTGGTAGCTTTCAATATTCAATGTAAATGCTTTTGTAGAAATAAGGCTATTGATAATGTTTAAATTTTAACCATCATAACAATTTGTCTTTTTCTCTTGAGTGTATGTAATTTCTGTTACTCATAGTTTTTATCGTTTCAAAGATTTACTTTCATAAATTCAGGTATATTCACATTGTACCATTGTGATACATGACCTATTGCAACATTTACCTTTTTCTTCAGATACCACCAATGATCTCAACATACGTTTTGTAAAAACAAACACACAGTTGCGCTATAAGGTTATTTGTGTGATTGAGCTTATTTTGTACCTAGGGTACCTAATTTTACTTGTATTGCAGTACAACTGGTGTCTTTGCTTACATTCTCTTTACAATTTGATGGATGTCGATTCATCAAAGTGCACGTACAAATGTCGAGGTTCAAATGATGTTGTATGTGGAGAAAGATCTCATTATACAGTATATAAGCACATTACTGGTACGTGAGTTAGGTTACACTTGCCTACTACTTAAGTATACACACAGCTGTTCTTTTCTTCCCAGCAACAATCAGAAACACTTATCCTTACATATATGTTACTCGTCTCGATTTTTAAACGGTTGTCAATTTGGAAAGCAACACACCATAGGCCAAACATCTTGAGAGAACAAAGAAACATTATATAACGTAAAATAAAAAGAAATAAAGAATAAGCTCTCAAACTCTATTTTTAAGGTCAACTGGATAAAAATAGCACAGGTATAAGCAAGACAATTGATACAAATTGAATATAATTGAGAAAAATAATATACCACATAATTCAAAAGTTTATTATAGTATAATTATACGTAAGGGAATGCAATTTGTCTTTCTGTCCATTTAAAAACGGGATATAATGTATACTTTACGTATACCATTGATATATCAAGAATTCTCTTCTATACTGTAAAAAAGAATGTAAATCACGGAAAGCAAGCGCTAAGTACCTCACGTGTTGATACGAAAGCATGCTGCTGCACACCTCAATATCGTTGACTCTCCATTAAGAAAATTAAAGTTTTAAACTAAAGCATACTAATGTTAGATTTAGTATTCATTTCTGGTGGTGTTATATTTTGTTGATTCAGCCATACTGGATCTATGTGATCACTCTGTTTTTGGAGATGGTGAAGACTACTAAGTTGAAGACATGATATGAAACTAATTATGTGTTTTTATGACTTGCAGAAACTTCCTAAACCATTTTAATCATCAACTGCCAACTTTTGACATGTTATTTGTCCTTAAATCAAGAAAAGATTGGTCGAACAACCCTTTTATTTTAGATATACACTTGCATATAGTTCCTTTGTAAATCAAAATTTATAACGATTTACTATTTATGAATTAATTTGAAAAAATATTTGTACATCAATTGAATCAGTCGATAAGAATATTGAAAGTATTATATTAGTATCTTATGCTTGTGTAAGTTGTTGTTCAATGAAATGTAGGTCAACATCTGTATTAATATATCTAAGTTGATTCCCACACTTTTTTTGAAATGGTATTACTCCAATTCTTTCCATAGGCAAGTACGAGTCAGTATGATTATCAACTGTCATGATTTTCAAATAATTACAATCGAAGGTGTAAGTATTGATCGGAAACGACTCCAGGCTTAATTCACCACAGTTAATATCTCATGACCTGTTAAATAATTAAATAGACACAATTTATTACACACCTAACTGAATACACACATTCTCAATATTAAACCTAAAAATGTATTTATTTATTTTAATCTACACTAAAACTATAAAGTTAGTTTTGCTAGCTAGCTGAATGATTAATCAGATGTGTTTTTTTTTCAAAGAAAAGACAAAAAATAAAAAAAATATGTATCAAAAATGCAAGCAAATTTTATTTCACTCGTAAAATCAGACTGTCATTATCATCTGACATAAGTTAATAATCAAGTTCAAATTAATTAGTTGCCACCAGAAATTTGGTTGAAATAATATACAAAATTGCATAACTCTTATCTGAGCATTTTCTGCAATAAAATTATTTGTTTGTTCTACATTTAAATCCCATTATATTGCTATTTAACAGTAATTGGAAATATCTCATCATTAGGTATTTGTACATTTAAATTCAAAAAAGGAAATGTAATTTTCTTACTGAAGAATGAACACCAATGTAGATAAAAAAAATAGTTATTATTTTTTTTAATTTTTGTTGTTAAGAAAGTGCATTTCTGAGGTCTCTTTCTGGAAATTATAAAGCCAGTTATTATAAATGGCATATAATAAATATATTACTTATTTGACAATTTCCCTTTCCATTCTTGTCAAAAAAAATCTGACAGAGTCTAAAATTGAAATATCAATATATATATCAATATTTGCATTAATATTTTTAGTTCCTTTGGAAAATAACATATAAATTTTACAGTAAGATTGAAAATGAAAAGAGAAGCAAATATTAAAAAAAGAATGGTCAGAAAGAATATCAAACCAGCTATAAATATGGCTGGATCACAACATCGACGATGCTTTGATTTTGAAATGTGAAAGACATTAAAAGGCTAAATAATTTAAACGAAAAAGGTCATGATTAATATCCATTTCTATTCTTTCGAGATAAATATCAGAAACATTAATACGGATATCCTCTGGAATGACTATTCGGTTATTTGTCATGCAATAAATGCAAAATTTAAGAGAAAAATTGTAACAGGTCTACATCAAAACCCTTCTGAACTCGTGCCTTGATCACGACTTTAAATGTAGCTGTTGATAAAAATAACTTGTTGTCTATTGCTGAAGAGGCCCCCAAGCCAGTCAAATGTTTCTATATATGAAATATATTGCTCAATTTGAACGAAATTAAAACTCGATCATTAACTGCTTTTTATATGACTATTTATTAAATATTGTATCAATAGTCAGAAAATTTTAAGAAATTATATTAATACATTGTACTGGAAATTGTGTGGTATTCAGTAGTAGGTTTTCAGTTCAGTTGGTGGCAAAACTTGTTCTCAGATTTTTGAGTTAAATGTTGTGCTTAGAAGTATAGACTTCAGTCATAATTTTGATTTCATGGAACTTAGTGTTTAAGATACTTTTGAAAAAAAAGTACACGATACTGGAGGGCAATCAAAAACCCTAGGTCGAAGAAATACAAACAACACCATAAAAAACTTAAACACACAAATAGGAGTTATTAAAATATAAACACAATATGCATTACATTAAAAATTAAACAGCTTGAAATCTTCCAAACCTCTGACAGCAAAGCTGCAGGAATGAACAAAGTATCACCAATTTTGCTATAATATTTGTTACTATCTTATAAAAGGGTAGTATTCCTTTTTTGTGCCACGATTTACAGTGTTTGAAAGGGATTACTGTTGAAACTGCCGTTCTTAATTTACGATGATGGATGATATAATGGAAACTAGTACCCCACTCTTTACAGTGAAATCGTCTCCTGTAACACTACGACCATACGAATCATATATATCCTCGATTTTTTTTTATCATTTCAATAACTGGAATTTTACCATTTTAAATATATAACGATTTCGGAATGTATAGATGTGTGTTAGACAGAATAGTTTGTTCATTAAAATTACAGTAAACAATTACATTTGTGTTAATTTATATTTATAGATGTTCATTTAATTCATAGGAAAATTCAAACCCAAAGGTGATGTCGATTCAAAACTTGCCTGTTCTGTTGTTATGCCTCGAAATAACAAATTTGTACTGAAAGCTGTTGACTGCTCTTTAAAATACTGGACAACATGTGTAATATCTAGAGGTAAATCTTATCAAGAAAAGTAAGGTTCCTAATTTTCATTCCTGATTCAATAATATGCAGTTATATAATTATTACTCCTATTAGTTATCAGGATTAACATACTTTCATTAACACTTGTTTTTATCTAACTTTAAGTTATCCTTTTACAAAACTTCGACGTTGTTTCACATTACATGATTTACAGCTGTACATATTCTTCACTCAAAATTGGAAAAGTGTAAATTAAAGGAAACATAGCACATTAAAATCGTAAAATATTAGCCGCAAATCACAAGATAACCATAAAGTGATTATTTGTTGATAAAGTTACCAATTTTGCCTCCCATAAACATAATGTATGCTACCAAAAAAATTCCAGGACAAAGAGTCAATGTCTTTTTCCTTTCTGCCATGCGTTCATTCGTCTTTGTGTCCTCAACCAATCGTTTTCCGGATGAGAACTTTAGTTTTCCGAGCTTGATTTGAATAGAAATAGTACTGATACTGTTGTAAGACATTGGAAAGGAGAAGATGACTTTTAATTTTAGATCAATAGCTCTAAAAATAAAATATTTTGCGACATTCCGCTTCCAGTTGGTAACTTAAATTTCCCTTTCGTGATCGGTATGAAAGTTCTAATTAAAATGTAACTTATTTTTGTTAATATTAAGCAGTAATAGTGTTCCAAATACTGTAGGGCTAGTCAGTCAGAAAAACCCCTGCCAAATGGGAACCTTAACAAATTTATAGTTTGGGATGATTATTCGCGCATATGTATGCAATTTATTTGTATTTCCATTCAATAATGTTGCGGTAATGTGAATATGTGTTGGCAGTGTCAACTTTCCATCTGTTTAGTTTGGTTGTTCATTTGAAAGTAAATTGAAAACTTCAGCTGTCAGCATGGTCAGTGTGAATTTGTAATCAGTTCTGTTTCTATAGTATAAAGCCTTGATACACAAATTACGGAACGAATGTACAGGGTGATTCAGTTAAGTACGATACATCAATAGTGTACCGATAAACTCAATATATCGTCAGGTACGTGCGTGCCTTAAGCAATAAGCAATTCTAATGTAAGAGTTGCCATTAATGGTTGATAATATTAAATTTTCATGGCGTCAATAACGAACAATTAAAGATACAGGGGAGATTCATCGTCCGATTTAGTAATAACTTTAATAAATCGCTAATGAGTGTATTAATCAATAAACATGTTTCAATCCGGTCTACATCGAGGCATTCTTTTCATCAATGGTTTTTATTTTTTATAACAGAACACGTTTGTACTGACCAGGAATATCTATTCAAATGTTCGTTGCATTTCAAAGATGGAATTAAAGCAACTCCATTGTGTTGCATGTAGCTACAAGTTTGTTTCGTACTATTTCTGCATATAAGTAAATTGGTATATTTTGTTCTATTTAACATGTTTGATGTATCGTACTTTACTGAATCACCCTGTACATTCGTTCCGTAATTTGTGTATCAAGGCTTTATACTATAGAAACAGAACTGATTACATCATTCGTAAATATAAATCAACATGCAGACATCTTATACGTTCAGGTATTTCACATCCAATCTTGTATGGTAATATTCTTTAAAAAGCACAAAAATGTCGGCATTCACCTCAAAAGCTGACCAAACCTGTAAACAGACTTATTCAGAAGGGATATAGTTACGATACTTTTGTCAGGTCATTAAAGATCGCATATTTTGGTATTAATATTGATTCACTCATAGTGTCTTTGCATCGGAAATAAACACATTTATTCTAAAACCAGTTGTTGGCATGATACGGTGTATGTTCTTCTCATATATTTAATGATGGTATGATACTAAACCCCTAACGGGAGGGATTGTGCTTGATTTTCATATGATGAAGACATAATCTTTCAATCAGTTTAATTGAGGTCTGGAGCTGGCATGTCAGTAACTGCTAGTAGTCCTTTGTTAATTTATGCATCATTGTCATTTGCTTAGTTTCTTTTGTTACCCATTCTGACATCGGACTCGGACTCGTTTTAAAGTGAGTTTTTCTGTGCGTATTGCTGTGTGTGTGTTTGTTCAAACTGGCTGGAAAAGGGGGGGTTGAGATCTCACAGGACATGTTTAACCCCGCCGCGTTTTTGCGCCTGTTCCAAGTCAGGAGCCTCTGGCCTTTGTTAGTCTTGTATGTTTTTTAATTTTAGTTCATTTATATGTTTTGGAGTTTAGTATGACGTCCATTTTCACTGAACTAGTACACATTTTGTTTAGGGACCAGCTGAAGCCCTCATCCGGGTGCGGTATTTTCTCGCTGTGTTGAAGACCTATTGGTGGCCTTCGACTGTTTTCTGCTCTTCGGTCGGGTTGTTGTCTCTTTGACACATTCCCCATTTCCATTCTCAATTTTATTAATGTATAGAAAAAATGGTAAATTAAGTCATAACAACAATCCCGTTGGGTTGATAGTTGTACCAGTGAACACAAGAATCTAATCGTCGATATCATTAAACTCAAAGTTCGCAAATAGGTCATTATATTTTGTTATTTAAATATCGTTGGTCCAGTCTCTTCAACTTTATTTTCATTTTAGTTACTAGACAAATGGAATTCACAGACACTTATCAGTCGGCAAGTAGTAGATGTTCCTTGTTAAATGGGACAATACTTAGCACCACCGACAATCTTGATAAACTGGAGGATGGAAGAGAGTACTGGTCTAATGTCTTTAGATCCAAGTTTCTGAAATGGACAACTAATGAATCATTCGATAAAATCTGCTGTAGGTTTATATGTAAATATGTGCAAAACAATTGTTGCATTCAATTCGAATTGTTCGTACCACTCTAGCCTCTGGTAGTGATTATGTGAACGATTATGGTTTTCATTAATCATGTAAGTAAACATAAAAATACTCGATACAAAACAGTCCTCAATCACATGTGTACATTATCGTTGAGGGTCCCAGAACTTTTTAAAGTAGAGGAATGGTTAGAGGAGTCCAAGTTCAAAGTATTCTGTGTGCATGACTGGTCTTTTTGAAGTTATTTAGTCGCTTATTTGGTAAAGAACAATAGAAGGTGTCAATTTGGTTGCTCTTATTTTGAATAAAGGTCAATTACAATCAACTATAATGTGAAGATCAATCACTTTTTTGTACTTATCAACGCTTTTTATAGGAGTATTACGAGGGGTGTCACGTGTGGAGCAAAATATGCTAACGCTTCCAAAGCATCTGAGATCGCCCGGGGTTTTGTTTTTTTCTTGTTGGTCAGTTTATAGTTTCCAATGCAGTGTTTTGTTTGCTTTTGTTGTCTTCCTTTCTTTTTTCATTTTTGTACTTGGTCTATGACGCTGGAGTTTTGAAAGCGCCCTTGGTATCCTCAGCCTCTTTTTTACTTGGAAAAAAATACAAAACGAGTCACACATTTAGGTTGACCATTCATTCATTATGTATTAAAAAAATAGCTAAACTGAATAACGAAAACTGTAGATGATGCCTGGAGTAAAAGAACATAATTTTGATTAATTTCTATGTTAAATCAAACTCGTTCTAGAGTCAAAGCATTGGATACTGTGCGAATGATATCTTCATATGAAAACATTCAAATATGTGTGGTACAAACCATGTGATAGTAATATAAACATATGACACCGAATTCAGTACACACGACACATATGTTTCAGCTCTGATCGGGGATAGCCAAATAAGCACACGAGAGAATCGGAACCGCACGAGTTTACAGAAAACAACCATAGCAGTCTTAGAAAAATGATGACAGAATTTCCATCCTTACAAAAAACGCATCATAGATACCAGGCAGACGCCCGTTTCATCTACGAAAGACTCATTAGTGACGTTCGAATGAAAAAAGTTAAAAAGGTCAAACCAAGTACTAAGTTGAAGAACTTTAAGGACCCAAACTTCCGAACGATTTTGCCAAATAAAGCTAAGGTAATATAATCCTCGGGAAGAAAATCCGTACTTTTTTTTTTATAAAGTCCAAGGTTTTGTAAACAGTTTATCCATAATTTTGACCATATCAATGATAATTCAGGATAATAGAGAGGACCTCTTTTTCAACTGAGCTCAAAAACAAATATTAATATTTGATTTTTGATTTTTGGTGTTTTTACGCCAGTTTTAAGCACCGCTTTTGGGCTATTTCGTGGCGGCCAGTTTTTATTGGTGGAGGAAGCCGGAGCGCCCGGAGAAAACCACCGACCTTCGATAGGAAAACTGACAATCCTAGTCAATTAAGATTGGAGTCGAGTGCACACGCACGAGCGGGGTTCGAACTCACAACCTCAGTGTTGACTGGCTAGTGATTACAGTAGTAACTACTTAGACCACTCGGCCACCGAGGCCCCTACAAATATTAATAATTATGTTTGATAATTATTTACATGAAAGCTATATAAACCCAACTCCACGTGTTCTCCGTGTTCAATAGCTATATATAGTATACATGTGCATAGTATAACAGATGTTGACCATGGTGGGAGAGAAATTGAATTAAATTAGTCTTATTAATCATACAAGTCACGTGCACTTAGTTTCAGGTACGCGTGCATTGTATCAACAAATTTATATCGGCATCTTAGTTAACATTTGATTGGTTTATGTTTATAAGCTATAGGCACTAGACGAGTTTTACATTTTGATATTATAAACGAATGATCAGTCTAATGAATAATTGTTTAAGGCTAACTCGCTCTTTGTGGCCAAGTTATCAGAAACGTTCTTGCTTACTTTATGGATATTCATGTATTCAAAAATATTTGTCATTACAAAAGAAGTGACTCTTTTGAAACTCTGATAGACAAGAAGATAAAATGAAACAGATAAACACAGTAGAAATCCTATGTTGTGATACCCTTTATTTCCCCTCCTGCTTTATTTATGCATCAAAGACATCTTCAAATATATACTATGATAATGACAGAGCTATTGTGAAATCTAAAAAGAATTACATAGTACCTTTCTTAAAAATCCTATAAGATATCCTAAATTGTAATTCACTTTCTTAGCAATGTACATGCAGCAACCGGATCAACTCGTTCAATATTTCCGTAACTCTAATATTAAAAAAGTTTGATAATCATAAAAAACACAAATTGGTAACATAAACGAATTCGAAGGAGCGCATTCTTAAAATTGATAAATTCCTTTCAATTTCTTAGGGTTGTTTGATTTAGGTGTTTATATCAGTTTTTCATCAAAATCAAACTTCGATTTACTTCAAGGAGATGAACTTATTAAGATATACAAGCTATTTGTTTTATTTTTTTTCAGCTGAAGTAGATGGATTGTTAAATGTTGATTGTGTATATTTAACAGTGGCATACAGGGAGGTTAAGTATATTCCATTGCCTTGTAAATACAAGTACACGGCCATCTGCAAACCCCAACAACCAGGAGATAAAGCCGTCATTAGACAGTGTCTAACTAGTAAAGATATAATTTTGCATATTTCTTATGTATATAAAAATGAGGAGATATGGTATGATTGCCAATGAGACAACTGTACACCAAAGTTAAAATGAAATGGATGTTAACAATTATAGGCAACCATACGGCTTTCAACAATGAGAAAAATTCCATACCATATAGTCGGCTATAAAAAGCCCCAACATGACAAATATGAAACAATGCAATTGAGAAAACTAACGGCATAATTTATAACAAAACAATTTACGAAAAACAAATATGACAGACATGAATCAACAACAAACACTGAACTACAGGCTCCTGACTTGGGACAGGCAAATACAGAATGTAGCGGGGTTAAACATGTTTGTGAGCGCTCAACTCTCCTAACCTGTGACAGTTGTTTTACAGCACACCATAAGAACAAACTATAAAAATCAGTTGAAATGGCTGAACTCATTACATCGATTTAAAACAGAAAAATATCTAACAAAAGATCAGACTGGACGTGGCAGGGTATTTGTACATCCCTACGAACAAAAAAACTCAAAGTACATATCTAAGGGTACTCGCAGTTACTGACAGCTTGTTCATCGCCAATATCAACTAATAAAAGAAATCATGCATCTAAGACTAATATATCAATCAGTACACATCCAACTTCCAATGGATTTAGTGTGAAGACTTCATTAACAACCAGAGAAAAAATGACCTTGTGCATTGCCAAATGATATGTATCGACAGATTGTAGTACCGTACTAGTTCTTCAGATAAAAACGCGAATATAAAGAATAGGAACACTGAAATAAAAAGCACAGAACACAACATAAACAACTAAAGACTGAGCAACACGAGCCCCACCAAAAACCGGTAATGATCTCCGGTGCTACGGAAGGGTACTGATATGGTCAAAGCATATGACTAAAAGTCATCTCTTGCTTAACAAAATTTTCAAAATGAAAGACAATTTGGCAAATCGATTTGGAAGAGGCAAATCAATGTAATAAACAAAAGCTGAGGAAATGGCATAAACTCCATAAGGCGAGATCGGATGAGTTGACAGGGTCTCCTTATAAAACAGATTAAGATTCTTTTTTTTTTCAAATTAAAGTAATATATTAAAAATTGACCATCAAAGTGAAATGAATGTAAAAATAACAAATATTTATTTAAATTTCGCTTTTGTTGCAATCATTTGTTATTGCATGATTAATTCTTGATTGTTTCACGTCCAATGGCAAAATACGTCAAGCATATTCAGGTCGAGATCAGTCACAAAAACATTTACAATAAATCAAATAAATAGATTTCAAAAATTGGATTGATAAAAGCTGGTAAGTATAGCAATTTGCATTACACTGAACTATTCAGACCTTTATAAGAAACTTGATCATAAAATTGAAGTTTTTAAAAACGGACACATTATTCAAACATTAGAATGGTTGGTACATGTTACAATATGATTTATTCAAGATATTAATGTCTCATAACATAGTAATATTATCATGTTAGCATGCTATCATTTTCTTTATATGAGAATCGCTATCAACTTTTAAAACGCTTTTACAGACAATGGTACCACCACAATTACAAGAGATCAATCAGAACCAGAACACAGTAATAAATCATCAAGCAAAGCAGATCCCACTCCAACAACTCAAAGCACCGAAACAGTGTTTTTAACATCATCGCTGGCGACCATGTCAACACATTTCGTACCGATGACTTCAGACTATACAAATCCTGTCACCCAATCTTCCCAAAAGTCCGGGTCAACAAATTTTGTTTCAACGAATTCAGATTATATCGACTCTTTCAATCCATCTATCTCAAGTAAACACTCGTCTGTATGGTCTAGATCGACTGCTCTTTTTGTTTCCTCGTCGCAAACAAGCATAAGTGATAAAACTGTCGGTATACATATGGAATTAACTACCTTAGTTCCACAAATGGATAACGACAACAGGACAGTGGCAAATGAAACTACAAATGATGGTTTTATTTATAGTGTCATTTTTTCATTAGGTACGTGCTCAATTCACTTTACTAACTTTGATTTTTTAATAATGATTGACATAGAATTATAAACAACAAGAGTATAAAATCACATGCATATTCAAAATCAGAACGGATTATCAATTTATAGTAAATGTAGGTTTTGCAAAGTGAGGCTACTGGAATGTAGAACAGTCAATTTATAGAAAATGAATGCTAGGTTGGGACAGAAAGTTGGCAAACCGGCTACTTGCTGATACTGAATGAGTTGTGATGATGATTACTTAACATACTCAGAGTTTGACTTTCTTTTTGCACAATTTATAATTAAGAATCAACAGTAAATAGAAACTGAATGTTATGTAGGACTAGAATCATTTAGAGAAAACATTCAAAAGCCACAAACTGGAGTTTGTACATGTAAATAAACATGGTGCGGAGTTAAACTTATTTTAGTATGTGTCAACTCAATCCTACTCCTTTGAAATGGGTCAGTGACATTTTCAAAGGTACATTGATAAGTATAATAGTTATTATTACAGAAAAAGGGGCTCAAATCTACAATACAGGTATTACTAACAACATACACACAAACAGTTTCATTATACTAAGGTCTTTATGAAAAAAAACAGAATATTCAGTTTTGGCAAAATCTCCTAATCCCTTATCTATGTTGTGTTTTGTTTACTGTTGTTTGTCTTTTCGTCGTTTTTCGTTTTTTACCTTGCCAATATGTTTTCGACTTATGATTTTGAATATCCTTTGGTATCTTTCGCCTCTCTCTTATTATTTTTATGACTTGTTAATTTAATCGTATACAAAAATGTACATACTAATAATAAACAATATACGCATAAAACACCCCGTAAAAATGATATGATCAGTGTGTAATCCAAATTTTACACTAATAAACTCCCAGTCGGAAGTGCACGTTGACCTGTATAAATGTCTTTGTAAAAAGAAGTATCATAATCATTATTTTTAATAATACATACGGACATATAAAAAGTATTAAAAACATTCATCAAAGATAGTAGGCTTATAATTTTGTACGTCAGACTCACGTTTTGTCTTCAAAAGACTCACCAGTTACGCCCGAATAAAAAAAAGTTAAAAGCCCAAATAAAGGTGAAGAGCATTTAGTGCCTATAATTTTGTAAGGTTTTGCAAAATACAGCAAGGTAATCTCTTCCTGGGGTAAAAAATCCTTAGTATTTCCTCGCTGCTTAAAAACATAACTACAGTATTTTTTTTATTATCATTTTCTAAAAATGGCGACAATAACACAACTAACATACATACAAGATAATAATTCTTATCCTTGTTATATGAAATACGACTTTAAGCAAAAATCATGCAAACTGACCCTTATTTTCTTGATCATCAACTAGAACAGTTACTGTTCTAAATCATGATCAGATTGTTGCTCTAACTTACGCCATTTTGAACAGATTCTGACCGTTCAACCCTAGAACTGATAAGCCAGTTTTACCTTAATAAGGTTTGGACAGTTTTTCCCTATTACTGTTTCTGGCAGTTTAACCTTAAAACTACTCTAGGGTAGAACTGTTTCAGAACAAAAAACAGTTAAAAATAATATCAACTGACATGAAACTAGAATACGACGTATCTCTCATTTGTATAACTTATTGTAGAATTTTTTTTATCTAAATAATCTAGGACAACAACTTCCGAAATGAGAGGCGAAAGATACCAAAGGGATATTCAAAGTCATAAATCGAAAACAAACTGTACACAGACATTGATAATTATAATGCACACAGAACAACACGTAAATATAAAGCAAGAGCCACAAGAACCCTTTTAATCAAAACTAGCGGTGATGTCAAGGACTCCGGATGGGTAAGCAGATCCCGCTACACATGAGTCGCTTGACAATTTTAATCATGTCGACTTGATGATCAATTTGACTGTTCAAGGTTTCTCGCTTTTAGGATAATTGCCAAAAACGCAACCATGTGAATACAATCCCATTTAAGGGCAATAACTCTAACTAGGAGTCATCTGATTAATGTTGGAATATTAAAAGTAGGAAGATCTTGATATTCTTAACATTTTACTAAGTAAGAATGTCTCTACTTATGAAAGTTAATATGATATTAGACAATTACTTGTATTTTATCCTTTTGATCTATATTGAGGCATGGCGGTAACACAAAAATACCTCATACTAGACACACGGAGGATATTCTGTTCCAACTTTCGTAAAAATTGGTCCTGTGGTTTACGAAAACAAACGACGGACGACAACCTCGACAAATATCGATGACGGACACTAAGTGATGGCAACAGCTCACATGACCCACCCATAGGATTATGTGATCTAAACTTTCCCGGAAAATTATATTAACTGGTGATTAAATAAATGTATAGTATAGAAGTGTTGAAAGTTCTTTTTTTCACAACTTATAAAATTAAATCTTTATTTCAGTTCCAGCTTCTGTTGCATTGGCCGTTCTAATAATAATGGCAGTACTTATAACTGTAGTAAGAAGGTACGTTATAAGAGTGCACATGCCAAAAGGTATTGTACTGGTATGCGATACAGCGGAGGTATGCATTGCCATTTCAAGAAAATCACTTATTCCAAACGAACTATTTTTTTCTGATCAATATTCCATTATTGTTTAAATGTTGATAAATCATAATTCAAATGGAAATATGTTTTTTTTTTCCTTTTTAATTTTCTATTCCTTTACTTCTACAAAATGTTCCTTGCATTCGTAGGAAATTAAGGATAATCGAAAAAACCTCGGCTATTGCCACAAGTATCTCTTTAATTGACATTTCCATCTTGTTTTGATAATTCTTCAATTGAGTTTAAAACTGAGAATAGATATAGGAAGATGTGGTATGAGTGCCAATGAGACAACTCTCCATCCAAGTTACAATTTATAAAAGTAAACCGTTATAGGTCAAGGTACGGTCTTCAACACGGAGCATTGGCTCACACCGAACAGCAAGCTATAAAGGGCCCCAAAAAATTATTAGTGTAAAACCGTTCAAACGGAAAAACCAACTGTCTAATCTATATAAAAACGAGAAACGAGAAACACGTATAGCTGTTGGTTTTAGAGCAGAAAGTATAAACCCAGCGTGACAACCGTACTTTGTCCTTTCTTATAACAATACAAAGATGTGGTAAAATTGCCAATGAGACATACTTCCACAAGAGACTAAGTGATGTTAGCAACTAAAGGTCACCGAACGGTCTTCAACAATGAGCAAACCCATACTGCATAGCCAGCCATACAATATCCGGACATTCAAACAACCTCGTTTATGAAAAAAAAAAAACAATAAACAAAAAAACAAATCAGATATACATCAACAAATGACAACCACTGAATTACAGTTACTGAAAGCTGGTTCAAAGCCTATAACAACTAATGGAACAATCAAGAATCCAAGTCTACAATTATATTAATCAGTACACATCCAATGGATTAAGTGTAGCGACTTCATAAACAGTCAGAAAAAAATGAAATTAATTGTGCAATGCAAAATGTCAGTATCGACAGAATGTTGGACCGTAAATTTTCGTAGATGTTTAGCAATTATACTATTTAGTTATGTTCTAATTCATTTAGCTAGCTATAAAACCAGGTTAAAACAACCATTTTCTTCATAAAATGCCTGTACCAAGTCAGTAATATGACAGCTGTGCTTCACGTTTATCACTGCTGATTGATAACTTTTGACTTTGTCAGTTTTTATGAACTTCCTCTTTTTTTATTCACTTGGACATGTTGGAGTTCACTAATTTTGTTATACTTTTTTATTGAAGAAAAGAATCTGATTCAATGTTTGTACCGATAAAAACGATATTAAAAGATCTTACAGTGTTTAAATGATTTCTTTTTTTATAATAAGTCTATTTAAAGGAGCGATAGGTTTACGCTGATTGTATTTAAATTGACGGGCTCTATAAACAACATCACCGTAAAAATTAGGATATGACATCCCGTTTGTAATACGTTTTTCTACAGGTATTTCTAAAACCAAATATTTATTGATTTGGGTTTATGTCTTGCATTCTTGGTTGTATGAAGAAGATTTGCATCTGTCTAACAAAAACCGATCATTGTTATTTTTCATAAAAAGATACTAAAACAAATACAATTGCAATCTGTATTCATCTATTAAACCTGAGTGATTTTGATGGAATTCAATAATTGTATACTAGTATTTACTTCGCTATATTTCTCATTTATAAATACTTAAAAAATAGTTATATTTCAGAATTGTTTCAAAATCGCTTAACAAAATATATTCCAAGCAGTGCTGTTACTAGAAAAACTAATGTTTTAAGGAACATCGAATAACGTATCACTTGTCTTAATTTTGTACAAATAATAGTGGCCTTTTACGAATCAGGATTAACAATTGTTGCTTGCTATGTTACTCAATTGCTTGTATTTTTCTTTAGACGAAGAAGGGAGAAAGCTCATCCAGAAAGCAATGGACTTCAAATCGAGCTTGGTGCACTACAACCGATTATTGAATATGAAAAGAAGTCATACGAAAACCAAAGGAATTATTGGAAGACACAAGATAGAGGCAATCCGGATTGCCAAATTTATGATGAAGCTAACGACCAATATCAACATCTTGATTTTAATGTACAAAATAAAGAGCCAACATGTTTCGAAGCAGAATATGGTTATGCTATGGCAACAACGTCGTTTTTGAAGCCAGACCAAAAGAATCCAACCACCAACAGTGCATTAAAAATCCCTATGACAAAACGTGCAAAAATGCTAAGAACATCATTACATTTTCTCCAAGGCCCGTTTACAAAGCAGAGGTCTGAAAAAGAAAATGTGGCATATTGTGACACTGCAATAGTTCACACCAAATTCCTGTATGACACACCACACCAATCTATTAAGCATGTCAATAAACATTAGTACATTGTATTCAGTCTCAGTGATTACAAAAGCATGCGTGTGCCATCGAAAGCAATGTTATTTTGAATCAGGAGCTATTTTGAAATACAAATTTTATTCTTTTTAAAAAAGGATCTGTTTACCGTTCCGGAGCACCTGATATCACTCTCATAGCGGAGTTTGCTTTGCTCAGTTCTTAGTGTTCTATGTAGTTATGGACTGCTGTTTGTCTTTTTGTCGCCATCGATTATGCCATAGTAATTTCTGTATTTTTAAGACTTGTAATGTTTGTATAGTTCCTTTGGTGTTTTTTTATCTGTTTTATTTAAAGACTTTCATATTATACCTTATCTACATTTGTTTCAATTTAATGCATTGTACATGTTCCATAATGTTCAATAGCGGATGATAAAGATTAAGTCTGACATTAATTAAAAAAATAATATTCAGTACGTTTGGTATTATAAAGGTTTAAAGGAACATTGGAACGTTTTAAATGTTTTCATCAATATTGTGCTTGCTTGCATGAAAAGGATTTTAGAGGCCAACTTTTACATTATCAAAATTGATCAAGATACTTGTATGAGTGTTCTGAAGCTTTGAAATTCATTTTAATGATAATGAATTAACATTCTCCTTTACTCTGTGTGTGTGTGTGTTTTTTTATTTATTTATTTTTTTTTGCGAATTTTGAATTTTAATTGGCGCATGCATTATTTATTTTCCTAATTTTATGTTCTTCTTATTATGTTGAATATTTGACCATTTTGCAGAACATATATATTTTTTAGATACACCTAAAATGTACATAATAAACAACCTTGAAGTATGGCATTAATTATTGTATATATTGTACTTACCAATCTAATAAAAAAATAAATGCTTTAATTTTAAAAAGATACATGATTTAAGTAATATGTTGTACAACTCAAATAGATATGAACACATCTGTTACAAAGGTTTATAAATAACGCAAGAAATCTTACAAATTTCGTTGATATCTGTATCCAGTAAATGTTAAAACTACACCTGTGAAGTTCTTATCCTTTAGCTTCAGACGGAGGCTCTTACAACCTTTTATAAGTTTATAAAATTTTCGGACAAAGTTTATGCTTATAGCAGAATTAAATATTTCTGAAGTGTGAAAAATCCTTGAAGGTTTTTCGAATAAACAAATTTCATTGAAGATCCGTTTGTCTCCTTCTACGGGAATCACACCGTGCTTGTTCAAACGACCTGTATCGGTTCTGTTTCACCTGAAAGATACGATCCGTACACAGCTATTAACTTACAGATAAAGAGCGTGCCAGGAAGTTAGTATGTTATTCATTTTCTCCCAATTGATTTGGTTTAATAAATTGGGGTTCCGTGTTACATTGTAAATCTAAATAGGCGGTGTTTGTGCTTCAATGTTATATTTTGAGTGTTTTTAATTTAGAATTTTCGTGATCACAAATATTATATGTATGTATGTTTGTATGTATGAATAATTATTGAAAATAAATTGTTTTAGGTCACAAAACAAAGTTTATCTTCTTTTTTTCTTGATCTATACGCTTTTCAGACCATATGTTCTATAACACATGTTCGATCAAACAATAAGAATTTATTTTCTATACAGAGCTCAATGAAACAAAGAACAAATATTCTGTGTGATGCAAGTTTGCAAAATCCAGTCATTTTATAAAGCAGCAGAATCATGTTTATGACATATGTGACCAGAAATTTTTAATCAGAATTAAGAAAAACAAATAAAAATACTGCAAATTGGTCAGAGTAGATGTAAACTTATGCGCATAGCGGAGAGTGTGAATGGGGGTTTACAGAATAGAGAATAATGGGCAAAAATATAAAGAATAGAGAAAAATGGACCAATAAAATAAAGAATAGAGAATAATGAGGTCTTAGAATATCAAGAATATAGAATGATGGGAAAAAAGTATAAAGAATAGAGAAAAATGGCCTAAAAAGTAAAGAATACAGAAATGAAGTGACCCTCCTCCCTCCCTCAATCCTGACCCTAATAGCGGGCCTTGCAACGAAAGGAAATGTATATACCACCAATTCTGCTGTTAAACTATTCAACCTCAATATTAAGTGTTCATTTGCCCATTGACTAACACATACATACATTCAACCAACTTGTAAAGATTTCACCTTAATCAACAACAGAGTAGTCAGATAAAGTACAATATTGCAGTTCCATGCCTTTCTAGTTTGACGGTGTTTCTTGTGCATGGTTTCCTAGAATTCTAGATTAATATCATAGGTCCTTTAGCCATCATTGAACAGTTTAAAACTTGTTAACATAACTGCAAAACAGCTTATAGAATAGAGAAAGGAAATGGGGAATGTGTCAAGGATACAACTACCCGACCAAAGAGCAGAAAACAGTGCAAGGCCACCAATGGGTCTTCAACGCAGCGAGAAAATCCGGCACCCGGAGGCGGGCTTCAGATGGCCCTTAAACAATAATGTATACTAATTCAGCAATGGACGCCACACTAAACTTCGAAACATAAAATTGAACCAAATTTTAAAAAAAACATACAAGACTAACAAAGGCTAGCGGTTCCCGACTTGGGACAGGCACAAATATGCGACGGGGTTAAACATGTTTTGTAAGATCTCAACCCTCCCCCTATATCTCTAGCAATTGTGGAATAAACAAACACACAGTAAAACTCAGTTTAAAAGAAGTCCGAGTCCGATGTTAGAATAGGTAACAGAAGAAACTAAGATAGATATATAAAAAGTTTCGAGAACATGAAAATCAAAAGGGCCTATATGTATGTAGAACTGCCATGTTAGTATAAGGAACTTTTAACTTTAGATTTAGCACAATTACAGCATTCATTTTTTTCTTTACATTTACATATGGTATCTTTTTAACAGGACAGCATCGAAGCACTGGCTATTGTGATCATGGTACATTACAAGATGATTAACATTCAGAACGACACTTAGATCCTTTCCACGTAGTGTTATTTCACGAATGTACTTCATTTTTAAACTTGTAAGTTATTAAAAAGGATTATGACATCCCATTACGATATTCTTATTTAATTGCAGTGTCAACTTTAAACTTAATTTTTTTTTTTATATTATCCTTTCTTCTATAAATAAAATCAGCGATACAGTTAGTAGTTATCATGGTTACACTGTATTATTTTTTCCTTCGTCATGTTTTAAAATCAATTTAGGTATAAAAAAAGTTAATTCTAAAAATCCTTTTTTTTTTAAATCGATCATTATCTATCAAAAGCTGTACCACTTACTTAATCATTTTTTGAAAATCGTGTTTGATCAGTTTTCATGAAATTATTAATTGAGGACAACGTCATGTTAATTTATGTGGAAGTGCTATTATTATTTTCATTCAAGCACTCTTCCGCTTGAACATTTTCATCTCTTGGGAATAACAGTCATTGAAAAAATTATACATTGGTATCCATTCAGTCTGGTCTTATGTCTAGACACAATTATTTATAATCTATATACATGTAAAAGGATTGATACGTTCCCTATTTTCAGAATTATTGACCGAGGAAAATTTGTTCTCTTGATACATTGGCGGATCCAGGGGAAAGGGGGAGGGGTTTCGGGGTTAGTACCCCCCCCCCCCCCTTTCGGTTCTTTTTCAAATTAAATTCGTTTTTTTTTCATAATATAATTATTCTATGTGAACGTTTTCATAGTATTCCAGGGGTTGGACCCCTCCCCCTTTTCAAAATGACTTGATCCGCGCCTGCTTGATAAATGTTATGCAAAATGCCTTTTCAAGTCAATATTATTTGGTTTGTGTCCTTACCTTCAAAATTCTTGTCTAATCTTGTTTGTAAACGTTTGTGAGGAATTTTGTGAAAACACATCTAGGTTGGATCTGATAGAATTTACTATTATTCGGTCGTAAAAACAATGTAAAACGCTCTTATTTATGAAATCTTTAGTTGGTTTCTTGGTAGCTCATTGATGTCTTGTCATCATATAATAATGCTTATACTGTAGAGAGTCTTTTAAAAGAAGTAATTAAAAATACTTTGTAAATTTATTTAAATGGTTCTAGAGTCTAAAAGTTTGTCCTTACTTAGATTCAGACCGTTTTGAAGCTTATGGTTATGTCGGGGCCTTTTATAACTCACAAAACGGTATTGGTTTTGCTTATAATTGAAGGCCATGCGATGACCTATAGTTGCTTACATCTAGATCATTTGGTCTTTGCTGATAGTTCTCTTATTGTCATTCATACCATGCATATTATCTGATTAGTAGATCGAAAAAGTTGTGTATACATGTAACGAGTAAAGCGCATGTACTTATTTTTAGATTAAAAACAATATTTAGCTTGAGCTTCATTTTCTGTTTACTCTCAAAACAACTCGACAATGCTTCTTATTCTCAAAATCTTCCGGATATTTTACTTATCTGTCTGCTAATGTATTGCAGATTATTGTTGTGTTTATAAAATAAATATTTAGTTACATGTAATATCGAACGGTTTTACCTGCGTTTCACAAGAAATCTTAATTATAGTAAAATTGAGCGTAAATATTCAAGACTTTAAAGTTATTTGTGTCGTTAGATTTGTTTGTGACATATGAAGGCCTGGATTCCATCAGCAATGTGATCTTGAATACTGTACATTAAGATGGTTATACTCATAATAAAAGAGAGACAAAAAATATAGATGATATCGTTTCAAACAAAATATGGGCATATTCGGCGCCTTTAAACGAGTTTAACACCGCCACATTCTGTATGTGCCTGTCCCAAGTCAGGAGCCTGTAATTCTTTGGTTGTTGTTTGTTGCTGTGTAACATATTAGTTTTTCGTTCATTATTTTTTACATAAATTAGGCCGTTAGTTTTCTCCTTTGAATTGTTTTACCTTTGTCATTTCGAGGCCTTTTATAGCTGAATATGCGGTATGGGGTTGGCTCACTGTTGAAGGCCTTACGGTGACCTATAGTTGTTAATTTCTGTGTCATTTGATATCTTGTGGAGATTTATTGGCAATCATACCACATCTAATTTATATATATAGTTATATATTTCACTTTAAACAACATGCAACAAAACCTTCGGATTAGAAAATCGCAAACCTGTCTGGCTTTGTACAGAACACCTTATTTTGTTTATCAGTTGTAAATTGACAAAATCTAATACATATATGCTAGGACTAATTTCCTCTGTGTCTTCTTTCTTTACATTTTTAATAAAATAAGTATGTGATCTATGTATTTTTGTGCTTTAAAAGCTAGTATTTTTGCATGGCAATTCCTAAATCATTGCACGTAATCATTTTGTAAGGGTTCATATACCTCAGTTTGAACCTTTCGGAAAATTAGACTTTAAACTTGAACTTGTTAAACAATGAAAATTGTAAATGTTGAATGCTGTATTAAGTCTAGCAAACCATATACAGGAAAGACCTACTCTAATATAAATGTGATCGTTTGAAAGGAAACATAACGTGGAATATCTTCCAACAAATTGTTACGTAAACTCATGGATAGGATTATGTTAAATTATTTATTGATAATCATTCTTTTAGGCGTAAAATCCGGTAAATATATATTATTATATTTTGGTTTTTTTTTATGATTGATTGTTTCGTAAATATACCATATACCTCGAACAATTCTAGACCCGTTTAGGTTTAGTGAGATCATTATTTGTGCATGTTAACTTTCGTAAATTGTTTGTCCATGGAAAGGTAAAAATATGTGTCAATGTACGATGTATTTTTGTTATCGTTGACAAGATGACACAAAACGAAAAAATCTAAGCACATTCATAATACTCTGAATAAAAAGATAGATAATTTCGACTGAATTTATTTCGCATCTGGTAAAATATGAAGAAGAAAAAAACTTCAACCATGTATTCAAATTAAACACATTAAAGCTTTATATTTGTACTTGAAGTTTGTAAGAGCGTTTAGTTGTAAGGCTAAACTTGTAGACATTAATTCAACGCATGGAATGATTAAAGACGAAACATATTCTTAACCAAAACCAAACACTATGTGCCTGTCCCTAGTCAGAAGCCTGTAATTCAGTGGTTGTCGTTTGCTATATGTATTATTTCTTTTTTTCGTTCATTGTTTTGTTCATAAATTAGGCCGTTATTTTCTCGTTTGATTTGTTTTACATTTGTTATTTCGGGTTTTTTTTAGCTGACTATGCGGTATGGGTTTTTGCTCATTGTTGAAGGCTGTGCGGTGACCTATGTTTGTTAACTTGTATGTCATTTGTATTCTGGTAGAGAGTTGTCTCATTTGCAACCATACCACATCTTCTTATTTTTATAACTATCGGAAGTTATGCTACATTTAATTTTTCAGATGCAAATTCATTCATTTTGGCCTAGAATAAATATCCTTCGATGAAAATGTTCTTTAACTATGGAACGCCACAGCTGTCTTATGTGGTATCTGATATTGTGTGGTTTATTTATTACTCTATTATATTTTGTCATTACATGATATGGTTTTGACATAACTTAATGATG